GGACCGGGGCACGAACCTGTGTCCCCTGCATCGGCAGGCGGACTCTCAACCACTGCGCCACCAGGGAAGCCCTATAGCTCATATTTTTAGTGACTAAATGACCAAAGAAGAAATACCATGAAACATCTCCAGCTTAAAATACCTCAGAGTTGAAAACGTTATTACTAGCTACAACTAGTTACAACACCCTCAAAACAGTGTCAAAAATCTGGATTGTGAAATCCATCAGTCTACCCATTTACTAAAAGACAGTGGAATTTTTAAATTGTTTCACTCCTGAGAAATATTAATTCAGCAGACCTATGTACTGATTCTGCACATCTACAGAGTCTCAATTTCAATCACTCATAATCTGAGCATCCCACATAATATAAATTAATAGAAAACTATTATAACCAGAACATTTTCATTTTCATAGAACTCCAAGGGCAGGAAGCGATTATGGTTAAGCCAACACTATTAGACACTACATTTTAGTTTTGTTGTTAAAAAAAAAAAAAAATTCAAGTTACATCATGATCTAAATTTCTTCTGCTGTGCAAAAGTAATACCAAACGATCATTCAATCACTGAGAATGCAAAAAATAAAAAAACAAATTAAAATCTGCAAAATTTTAAAACTTCTATACCTAGTTTTGGTATAACACAATGATAATTCCAATATATTTATATATGCCCCAATTCAAGTTAATCAACATAGTAGAACCTGGTAGTAATGATCAACTAATCTCTCAAGTTCAGTTTCTCCATCCGTCAAAAATAGTTTCTACCTGTCTCACAGGAGTGTTCTAAAGAAGACAGTGGCTGCAACATAATGTGCACTCAAAAAATATACGTGAATTGAAAACATCAAAACACCTGTAAATTGTGAAAATTCCCTATAAACAGACGGATTGTAAACTGAGTTTACTTATCTCAGTTGTCTACATGAGCGATTATTTTTTTAAACCTATAGACATAGAAGCCGTGACACACTGCTCAGAGACACGTGAAGTTCTATTATTATATTTTTCTTCTTTAGACTGATATTAATGTAGGTTTCTACTCCATGTGCTTTCATATCCAGTACTCTCAAAGAAATACTGAGTTTCAAAAAAA